TTTGAGTCAATTGGTAACTTAACAATTAAGGATGTCTTTTTTTTATTTAGAAGAAACATCATGAACTGCTTCTCTTAAAATAGCTGCCTTAAATTATTGTTCACAACTACATGGCGTGACTCTTTTGCTTTATTTTGTTTTGTTTCTTTCTGAAAATATACACACACTTGATTAAAGGAATAGCAGATGTAAAAATAAAAGACAAAGCAAGACACAGCATGAATGAGTTCTCAAACAATAGATTTTTGTACCTCTATTGATAAAGCCCAAATGTTTTCATAATTAATCTATCAACATGTAAGTTATGAAATTATGACCAAAAAAAGGCAAGGACAATGTAGACATTATAAATATGGTAGGATAGAAAAGGAAAAAAAGCTTTTTTCTTAAAGAATTTTCAAAACCTTTTTATCACCATTTTCTAGTCATTTGGAGACAATTATGAATCTCTGGATCACATACATGCAGGTTATTTTGCACTCCAGTATTTCTTTCTTTCTTTTTTTTTTTTTTTTTTTTTTTGGACAGGCAGAGTGGACAGTGAGAGAGAGAGAGACAGAGAGAAAGGTTTTCCTTTGCCATTGGTTCACCCCCCAGTGGCTGCTGCGGCCGGCGCACCCTGCTGATCCAAAGCCAGGAGCCAGGTGCTTCTCCTGGTCTCCCATGCGGGTGCAGGGCCCAAGCACTTGGGCCATCCTCCACTGCACTCCTGGGCCACAGCAGAGAGCTGGACTGGAAGAGGAGCGACCGGGACAGAATCCAGCGCCCCGACCGGGACTAGAACCCGGTGTGCTGGCGCTGCAGGTGGAGGATTAGTCTATTGAGCTGCGGCGCCGGCCCACTCCAGTATTTCTAAGTTCAAAATACCAGTTAAATCTTATAATCTACTAGTGACAACCTGAATTAGTGAATTGAGAAAAATTCTAAGGTCTTGTTTGACCTCACTGGAAAAATGTGTCATGATTGAATATGTATGTCTGTGCTAGCTATGTAATGGAATGCTAGTGTTCATGCCATATAGATATGGGTAATAATTTATGCAACTTCTTTTAGGGAAAGCAATGTACTACCATGTTTTCTAAATAAAGCAATTGCAAAAATTTTTTCAGATTACGATATATTTTTGCTACACCTCTCTTGCAGATATTATTATTATGTTTTCTAGTAACTAACTAATGAGATGTAGGACGGCGCCGCGGCTCACTTGGCTAATCCTCCACCTGTGGCGTCGGCACACCAGGTTCTAGTCCCAGTTGGGGTGCCGGTTCTGCCCCGGTTGCTCCTCTTCCAGTCCAGCTCTCTGCTGTGGCCCAGGAAGGCAGTGGAGGATGGCCCAAGTACTTGGGCCCTGCACCCGCATGGGAGACCAGGAGGAAGCACCTAGCTCCTGCTTCAGATTGGTGCAGTGCGCCAGACGTAGCAGCCATTTGGGGGGGTGAACCAATGGATAAAGGAAGACCTTCCTCTCTCTCTCTCTCTCTCTCTCACTGTCTAACTCTGCCTGTCCAAAAGAAAAAAAAAAAAGAGATGTAAATATCTCAGAACAATTCATCATTCATTACTTTTTAAACTTTTAGGGTTAAATGATAATGCTGATTTTTTCCTACAAAATGAACAAAAATTTTGATTGCAGTTTAGTTTGAAAAATATGAAATTTTGTAAACGATAGGCCATATGGTTAGCAAAATGTTGTAGAAATGTATGAAAGAAAAGACTAATTGATCCATTATTGAAAATATAAATGGTTTAAGTTACTTAATCAAAGTCATTGGATTCTGTTAAGTAGCTGGTTTTTGTTATGTTTAAAAGGAGTATACCACCTTTAAGCAGTGCTTTGCCTGAAAACCTTTATCAAAACTACTTGGAGCAGGGCAGTTAGGGTGGGATTCTGGAGAAACACCTGATTTGCAGCCTTTACCATTTTACATGGTTTATGTATTTTATAATGATTGATTTTAAGCCAACAAACATTATGCAAGCAAAAATCAAACAATCTATGTTATTAAACATACAGTTGGGAAAATATGTACATAATTGACTTTTAGTAGCTAATATGACCTGGCCCAACCTACTACTGTGTTTAGAGAAACCATACATATTTTATTATCTCAAACAAATACATTACAAAGAATAGTCATAGGAAACCTTCAAATATTGAATATCAACATGCATTGTAAGCATGATTAGTGCTACCAGAAAATTTTAAATCTAACTTCTAAGAGGAGATCTAATTTAATCATATATATATATATATAATGAATTATTGATGTTTTCTGGAAAAGCTTTCTTGATCAATAACTGTTAGAAATTTTTGTTACACAAAAATTTAATAAAATATTCTGTTATACAAAAATTTAGTAAAATGTGTATTTTTAAGACTCAACAGTCCACTTGTCATTATAGTCAGTATTCTTTGCCTATAATAAGTATTTTACTTTTTCTGTAATCTTAATCCTTTCCTATCATTGGTAGTGCGCAGGGGCAACTTTTTTGAAGAAATAAGTAAGTAAATTTAAATAATAAACAAACAATGAAATACTCCATTAGTAAAGTCCTAGATTTAATTAGGCAAATTGTGATTGATAACAGTTACCACTGAGTTGTCTGAAAATAAGCTAATTTATGATAATTTTTTATTTTATTTGAAGTTCTGCTTTACCATTTTAGGCCAATGGAAACATAGCCTGAATCTATACCCAATACTTTGCCTCCCTTCTCATGAGAGGACATGGAAGCTGAAGTTCCTGCTGCTGGAGTTCCTATCGCATTGTTGGCCCTCAATCACTGTTGCCTGAACAGGAGCAGGCAGTTTTAGGTCCTAAGCTATCACTGGTGTCTAATTAAGGCTGTCCACATGGTTGGGATTCTTACGTCTCTACATTGTTTCTACTCTATGGAATCTTACACATCTTTCAAGGCTACTTTTCTGTATTAAACCTTCCCTGATCACTCCAAAAAGACTTCTCTTTTTTATATATCCCTACTTTTTTCATGTTATTTTCATGTCATTTGTGTAGCAGTGCTATCTTTGGCACTCAAGGATATTATAAGCTCCTTGATTCAAGGAACATGATGTCACACATATTGATTATCACCCACTACATCTAAAAATGTTTCTTGGACAAAGCACATTCTCTATAGTTATTATCCAATTAATAAATTTGAATTTAGATTTAAGGTGAAACTTGGAAAAAATTTCATGCATGAATACCACTTTTCAAATACATTAAAATTATTTTGTAGCTTTTTACTTTTATTGCCATAAAGCAATATTCATAACTATTTTATAATTTCTGCTTGCCTATTTTTTCTCTAAGTAGCAGTTTTTTAAATGCACTCTTTCCTTCCTACTTCTCTCCGAATTGCGAAACAATCATATTTTTACTTTTCTATAGCTGCTAAAGGGAAAATACTGAGGATCTTAATTGGCAAAAATATTCCAATTAAGAATTTACTTTTTTTCAGGGAATTCCATAATAGATTTGAGTTTATTTGATAGAATAATAAGGGGAGAATCTTTGCCTACGTGATCTTTTTTGAGAGTCATAGTGCTCCCAAGGGGAACCCAAAATGGGGCCCTGTCTCTGTTAGAAACATGTAATTCCTCGTGAGAAAACTGTGCCCAGAGAATGTCAATCAAAAAGACAAAATGAGCTCCTAAATAAAGTCTTTTTTAGGGGGTGGAGGTGGTGGGTGGGTGTTGGGTGTATTCAGAGATTTACTGTGAACGAAATGAAGTTTAATTTTCTAGTCCCTCACATGGATCCTTGCATAAAAAGTCTCAACAAAGGACTGTTTCCTAATACATGGGCCCCCAATTACAAACATTTCATTCATGACCAAACAGGGTTCTGCATGTCAGCATGCTCCTTTAGGAAACAGTGTGATAACGTGGAAAGCACACTGTTCAGGATGTCTAGAGGCCTCAGAGTTTGTCTGTGATTAGCACTAACCTACAAGATATTCTTTCCAAGGGCCAGCACTGTGGTCTAGAGGGTTGAGTCTCCTCCTGCAGTGAAGACATCCCATGTGGGAGTCCAGCTGTTCCACTTCTGCTCCCACTCTTGCTAATGTTCCTGGGAAAGCAGAAGAAGCTGGCCTAACTTCTTGGGCCCCTGCACACACATGGGAGACCTGGCAGAAGCTCCTGGCTTCAAATCGGCCCAGCTCCAGCCATTGCAGCCATTTGGGGAGTGAACCAGTGGATGCAAGATCTCTCGCTCTCTCTCTCCCTCCCTCTTCTCTAAATAAATAAATTAATAAATAAACTAACTAACATAAAAATTACTTAGACCATTCATTCACATAATGAATGCCCCACACATTCTTTAAAAAAAAAAGATATTCTCTCCAAAGCATTTGACCTCGCTGAACCTCACTTTATCTGATAATCAGCTTATCCCATCTTTCTCTCTAGATTATATGATAACTTCCTGAAATAAAATTTTAATAATCAAAATGCAAAGTTCAGAGGCAATTAGTAATTAACTAAAAAGTATTAAAAAATAAGAAGTGTTCAGATTTATTCATTTTTTAACATTTATGTATTTGAAAGTCAGAGTTACAAGAGAAAGAGAGGCAGAGAGTAAGAGGGAGAGAGAAAGAGAGAGAAAGATCTTCCATCCGCTAATTCACTCCGCAAATGCCTGTAACTGCCAGGGCTGGGCCAGGTCTAAGCCAAGAGCCATGAGGTTCTTTCAGCCCTGGCATTGTGTGGCAGGGGCCCAAGAACTTGGGCCATCCTCAGCTGCTTTCCCAGGCCATTAGCCTGCTAAACCTACTGAACCAGAAGTAGAGCAGCTGAAACTTGAACTGGCACTCATGGGATGCCAACATTGCTGGTGGCAGCTTAACACACTACACTACAATGCCAACTATGAAATGTTCAGATGTAGTGTTGATAATCACAAGGCCACCTGTTGTCTTCCCACCATTCAGCAAATTCAGTAGCAGAAATCTCCAAGACTACTCCATAACTTGGGTCTCTGTTCTTCCTACAGAAGAAGCTTCGCAGCGCTGCACTAGTGAGAAGTATTCATTAATCCTGGATTGCAGTGGATTGACCTTTTTTGACTCTTCTTCAGTCTCCATGCTGGTTGAGGTATTTCTACAGCCTGCGTTTGCACTGAGAACTTCCTGACTCTTCAGTAACAAAGATTTTCATCTGTCCCCTCTCATCTCTGCTCCAATGTCTTAAGCCTGCTTGGTTCTATACTCATCTTTTAGGCCTTTTTGCCAAGGGCATAGATTTGTTTTCAGGAGATCAGGCTTCTAGATGTATGCATGTGTGAATGTCAGTATTTATTCACAGCACATGGACTTGAGATATTGTGGGCATAATTTCTGCTGGTCAATTAACTTACAAGGCTTCCAGGAAGAAGAAGGAAGCCCCTGCTGGTACACTGTGGTGATGGCAGGATGTTCCCTCCTATCATGGCAGGGTAAAATTTGGCCCAGTGTCACTCCTAGTCTCTAAACAGTGCCCAGGGCAAGGATTTTTCTCTGTACCCTTGGGTAATAGTGCCATCTTCTGTACCCCATGATTTTCATGGGGTCTGTATGAGCTAGGTATGCAAAATTACAACCCAATTTGCTTATTTAAAAAAAAAAAACTGATGCAGCTCACAAACTCCTATTTTCCACAAATAGAAAAAATCTTTAATTTTGCTAATTCAGGGAAAGATCAAATCCTTATGAGATTTCCCCTTTGCCCCTGACTTTAATACAGAGCCCCTTTCCTATTTTCCTTCTGTTCTTTCCCTTAATACAGTTAATTGTCCAGGGAGGGAAGGGGACTTTGGGGCTGGAGAATCTTCTGTTCCTGGTGTCCTAGCTTCTCAGCCCACTCTATGCACATCGCTTAGCTCACCTAGTCTTCAGGTGCTTGTGCCCAGAAATGTTCTTCCCCTGGAGTCCTGTGGTTTCTACCCTTGTGTGGCTTTGCATTTATTCAAAGCTTCTGTTAAAGCCCTGTGAAAATGACTGGAGCTCTTTCACTGCATATAACCCTCCCTTTTATTGTGCTCTACAAATCTGACCCTTAGAAGCCTCCCTGAACTCTGGTTCTTCTTACTCAGCTCAAGGAAGCTGCAGTGTTTTGTGTGGGGGACCTCATCACATCATGACTCTGGAATGCTTTGTGGCAGATCAGAGGACCGTCCTCATTTATTCTTCTCTCAGAGAGTACAGTTCTGTGCTGCCTGATGCTCCTTATCTGAATATAGTTGCTTTCATATTTTTGTTCAGTTGTTCACTTATTTATGGCAGATGGGATAGCCTTGTATTAGTAACTCAGCATAGATAGAAGTGGAGATTGGACATTGCCTTTTAAAGAGCTCATCTCAGAAGCCTTGAATGGTCCCTTCACAAGGTGGGATTTGATGATTTTGTTGCATTATTGCATCTTCTATGTCCATTCATATTTTAAGCTAACTTTGAAACTTCAAATTTTCAAACCCAAGATAATACAGAGGTCAGTGTTTCCTAAACTGCTAGTATAAAGTCAAAATGTGGGATCTCAGTGCAGCTGAGATGTTAGAGAAATCATTTCATTTGTGTGGGTTTCAGTTTATTCATTTGTGAAAATGAGGGGCTGATTTTGATTCAGGATTATCAGATATTTAGGAAGCAAATAACTATGCAAAGACAATTGAGGTTAAAATATCTTAGACCTTACATCTAATGACTATTTCTGACAATCTACTATTTTCCCATGTAATATTCTTTTATTTGCTTGTTGGTTACTTTAAAATCTTTGCATAAATAGACGTAAAATGCAATCTGAATTATTCTTACTTTCTTGCAACTAAACCAGGGTTGTCTACACATAGGCCCTCATTGCTGGAGGCCTTCTCGTGTTGGGCACTTGTATTTACTGTCTGTTACTCAAGTGTAGAACTGTGTGCTTAGCAGTCATCTGAGGTGCACGTTTAAAGTACAGTCTCCTAGATCCTGAGTCACAACCAGCATCTTCATTTTCGGCAGCTGTAGGTAATTCTGATGCAGGTGGTCTAAGGATCCTGTTTTGAGAAAGGTTGAACTAGGGTTTTCTTGCTACTGGGAAAGGCTGATATTTGTATTTTTGATCAACTCTATTTTAAATTTGTCTCTGGAATTATTATCTGCCCTCTCTGGAAAGTGAAAAACAAGATTTTTAAGGTTAGTAAAGAGAAGGGAATGGTATCTTATTCTCAATGATCTTAGGATTGAAGGTTGATTCAGAGAAATCCAAACAATCTGGGTACTGGATTTGTTGAGAAAGAGGGTTTTGTAGTGTTTGTTTTTTTATCTTCCACCTTATGATTATAAAATTCTAAACAACAGAGTGATGGAGAAATCAACTGTCAACCATTTATTTTTAAATCTGCAGGAAATGCCTTTTATCTTTGGTCAGTTTTTTTTTCTTCATCTATATACACAAAACAAGCAGTTTTGAATTAGTTTTCCTTTAATGTCTTTATTACCAATCAGTTTACTTCATTATTGTAACATTATTACATATGTTAAGAACATAGGCTTTAAAGATAGACACACCCTGGATCCAAATATCAGCAGTGCGCTAGTGCTGTGGTCTATGCTCAAGAACTGTTTGATTTTGTATAAATTGGACGTAGAAGTACTCCTTCTATCCATTTGTTGAGAGGCAGAAATGACAGATTGCATAGAAAGACTGTAAGATAGAGTTTAAAAGCTACTAAGTACTCAGTAATGTGAGTCTCTGTAATTTTGTAACATTATACCAGGCTGTTATTTCTTAGGCCCAACCACTCTGGCAAAGAATCCAGAAAAAGAGTTGCAAGGACTCTTCAGCCAGGCATGTCTTCCTACCTTCTAACAACATCCCCTGCGCTCTCTTTGTAGTTGTTTTAGCAAAGGGAACATTCTCTTGGGAGATCTCAGCTGAAGCAGGGGCACTGACTTCTATTTACTCTTTGACATGGGACACTGGAGAGGTCAGTGGACTGGAGATTATGTTTATCAGCATCAACAAACCATGCACAGCAATGTGTTTGTACTTCATTGAGCTTAAGAAAAAGTCAAACACTGAGAGGTCACCTTGAATTAATCATTTTATCCTACAGAAGCACGAACCATTTATTCAATGGCAAATTCCCAGTCCATGCATTTTTTATTTAGTTGTTTGTTTGTTTGCTTTTTCATTTATGCTCAAATTGATGCATAATTCTTCACAATTCTCAGAGAGAACTACTTACTCCTGGAAGAATATGAGGGAAATTCTGGATGTATCATGTATTCTCTTAGATTATAAATGCAGCTTTTTGTACTTTATATGTAAGATATATTACCACTATATAACCAAAAGCACCCTACTGTAAACATTATGGCATTATTAAAATAATATTTAATAAAGCAATAAAAGTTTGCTTTCACTGCCTTCCATGCACTACTTTGGTCTGGGTAAATTTAAGATCAGTCTTTTATATGTTGTTTCTACTTGAGTTTTTTTTTTAAAGATTTGTTTATTTGTTTGAGAGGCAGAATATAGACAGAGAGAGTGAGACAGAGACAGAGGTCTTCTACCTGATGGTTCATTCCCTAAATGGCTGCAATGGCTGGAGCTGGGCCAATTCAAAACCAGGAACTAGGAGCTTCTTCTGAGTCTCTACCTTGAGTAGAGGGGCCCGAGCATGTGGCCCATCTTCCACTGCTTTCCCAGGACATTAGCAGGGAGCTGGATCAGAATTAAAGCAACAGGGACTCCGTCCAGCACCTATATGTGACACCAGCACTGCTGGCAGCGGCCAAGCCTACTACACTACAGCGCTGGCTCCTCTACTTGAGATTTTCTAGACCTTAAAAGAGACAAGACTCTCTGGAGTATGCCAAGCAAATTAATGAGAATGTCTCATTGTGATGGATCTTTAACAAAGGAGGCTGAGCAACAAAATTTGGCTTGGAATCTAGGGAAGTTCTCAACTGACTACCCTGCTTGCTATTTACATAGTCCTTGAATCTGCTGAAATTGTCCTAGAATTTTAAATAGTAAGGCAGCAGCTTTCAATACTTTCACAAATGGGTCTTTGACTACCCACAGAAGAGGCTGAGAACATTTTATATCACTGTCACAGGAATAGAAAGATGATGTTTTTAATTTTGTTAAATAAAGTGGAAAATCTAAGCAGCCAAATAGAGTTTCAGTAAAGGTGAATGCTCTGCTGTGTTGATCTTGGCCTTCTAGGCACTCACCGTGTTATGCCTAACCATGTAACAATGCCTCCCTCTGGTGGTTTGACTTCATAAACAGGATTTCTCTCTCTCTCTCTCTCTCTCTCTCTCTCTCTCTCTCTCTCTCTCAACTGGAAACATCTTTTCTGAAGTCCATCTTATTGCTTCCTGCCAGCTATCCTGAATTAATTGTGGCTATACTGAAAATAAAGTAACTAATTAATATTTCAAATATTCTTTCAGATTTACATGGACTGCAATAGCAGGAGTGTGGATGTATCATTAGCCAATTGCACAGGTAATAACGTGTCCTGGGCTGTCGTTGACCACAATTCTGCTGCTGCTCCATGTGCCCTTATATAATCTATTCTTTCTTGTAGCTTCCTTGATTAAAGCAATGAAGTACTATGGAAACCTAGACTCAGAGAAACCAATTTTTTTTGAATCAGTGTCTGCTGCAATAAGTAACAGCTATTCAAATAAGGTGAGTGGAGTAAGTTGATTGGTATGTAGGAGTTCTGAGAAATAAGAACATAGAACCAAGGGCTTTGCATTTTTTTTTTCTAAAACTTATTACCCTTCTGAAATCTAGAATCTATTGAAATCTCTCTTTACTGCAGAGCTGTCTGCCACAAGGGAAGGGTTGTTGCCTTTCCTTTTGGGGCTAATTCTGATCTCTAAAGCATCATTTGGATCTTTTAACAATGTCACTGCTCCAGAGGTGGGTAAAATCTGGGCTGCAGGCTATGTAAGGCCCATGAAATTTGGTCTGGCCCTGTCAAGGCAACCACAGGTGGACTCAAAATTTAATAAATCTATAGCAGGCTACTTAAAAAAGATAGATTTATTTATTTATTTATTTATTTGAATTGCAGTTAGAGGGAGAGGCAGAGGCAGAGAGAGGGAAAGAGGTCTTCCATCTGCTGGTTCACTCCCCAATTGGCCACAACAGCAGGAGCTCAGCTGCTCTGAACCCAGGAGCCAAGAGCTTCCTCCGGGTCTCCCATGTAGGTGTAGGAGTCCAAGCACTTGGGCCATCTTCTACTGTTTTCTCAGGCCATAGCAGCGAGCTGGATCAGAAGTGGAGCAGCCAAGACTTGAACTGACACTCATATGGGATGCTAGCCCTGCAGGTGGTGGCTTTACCTGCTATGCCACAGTGCCAGCCCCAGCAGGCTACTTTTTTCTCTCTCTTTTTTTTATTTAATAACCGTGAATTTACAAAGTACAACTTTTGTATTGTGGCTTCCCCCCCCAACCTCCCTCCCTCCTGCGGCCCTCCCCTCTCCCACTCCCTCTCCCATCCCCCCCTTCATTGAGTTTCATTTTCAATTACCTTCATATACAGAAGATCAACTTAGTATACACTAAGCAAGGATTTCAACAGGCTGCCCTCACACAACCGCACAAGGTATGGGGTATTGTTCAACTAGTAGTGTTGTTTTTAAGTTTCATAGTAAAACACATGAAGGTCAGAGATCCTACATGGGGAGCATGTGCCCAGTGACTCCCGTTGTTGATTTAACAATTGGCACTCTTATTCATGAAGTCAGCAATCACCCAAGGCTCTTGCTATGAGCTGTCTAGGCTATGGAAGCCCCTTGAGTTCAACAACTCTGAACTTGTTTAGTCAAGGCCGTATCACAGTGGAGGTTCCTTCCTCCCTTCAGAGAAAGGCGCCTCCTTCCTTGATGGCCTGTTCCTTCTGCTGGGGTCTTGTTCACCAGAATCTTTCATTTAGGTTGTTTTTGCCACCGTGTCATGGCTGTCCATGCCTATGAGACTCCCATGAGCCTTTTAGCCAGATCCGAATGCCCCAAGGATTGATTGTGATTCTGGAGTGCTGTTTGGGGCATTTGCCATTCTATGAGTCTGCCGAGCAGGTTACTTTTAAGTGAATTTTAAAAATGATTTATTTATCTATTTGAAAGAGTTATACAAAGAGAAAGGGATACACACACACACACACACACACACAAAAGAGACAGAAAAATTTTCCATTCACTGGTTTACTCTGCAAGTGGCCTCAGCAGCCAAGACTGGGCCAGGCTGAAGCCAGGAGCCTGGAACTCCATCGGGGTCTTCCAGGTTGGTTCATCGATCTATTGAGTCAGAAGTGGAGCAGCTAGGACTTACCTGGCCTGCAGGCCAACCATTCCTCACCCCTGGAGTAGTGACATTGATAAACTCTATACTCATGTGAGATACTGGCATTGCAGATGGAATCTTTAGCCACTGCTCCATGATGCTGGCCCCTTAAGTTGCAAATCTTGTATGGTCTACAAATGATATTATAAATATCCAAATGGCCCTTGGTAGAAAAATCATTCCCCGCTCCTGGAAGCTTTTATCATCTATCAAGGATGGACGGCTTACTTTAATCCTTCTTGCAGCATTAGCTGTCCTGGGAATTTGAATTTACCTGTTTCAAATGCCAAATGCAGATTTTTTTTCCTGCTGCGATACCCTTGTCTTCAAGCTTATTTTATTTGTTCTGTTTTGAAACATTATTTGTGGAGTCTACTGCTAATATGATCAGAAATGGTAAACTTACTTTCCAAAGACTTGTCTTTAAGGTTTAGTTTTAGTTCCGAGAACTCTGATTTCCTGTAACTTTTCCTTTGAATTTTAAATTATTTTGCCTTTCCTCATCCCTAGAAGAACATTTGGTGTCACCCAGGGTCAGCCTTCTTACATTCAATCAGAACAGTATGTATTTATGAAATAACAGTATATTATTATTATATTATTATTCCATAACTAACATGTATTGAGTGTTCACTATGTTCCAGGAAATTTTAAAGGCTTTACCCATATTAATTAACTAAATTTGCCACGGTGTCATAACATAGATAATATTATTGGGCCCTTTTTCAGAAATGGGAAACTGAGGGAAGTTATGCCATCTTTAAGTGGTAGAGCAGGTCTCCAAGTCAGCAGTCTGACTGTGGACCAACCTGGGGTGTTAAGGTGCTATTCTCTGTTACCTCTTAGAATGCCCATTTTCTTAGCATGGCTGGACAGCTTGCTTCAGTTGCTACTGTTCTTTCACTGTGGTACCAATTCAAGAGTGGAGTAAGTGGCATATGCTGATTTGTTTCTCTTCTATTTCAGAATTTGAACAAACTCTGTGACCACAGTGAACTCTGAGGCCCTGTTGTTGCAGTACACCTCTTGTCTTCAGCAGCTGCCCTGAGGAGGCCATATTCTGGCATTTTGCACACCCTTTTCATTTAGATTCCACAGATGGCCTCTACTACTAAGTAGGATGTGTCTTAGTAACTGCATATCTACTGATCGAGATATGGCAATAGTTTTTCCTAACCTTTATGAGTAAGCAGGTTCACTTAGTTATTTTATGTAAAGTCATTGTGCATTTAGTCTTTTAGTGTACTGATGGGTAAACATGATTTGATTTCCTTTGACTACAATATATTGTGCCATTTTATATCTATTCGGTTGTAAGTTAATTTGTAAAAGTGATAAATGCTTTTGTCATAAGAGATTTGGAACATTTATAACCAAATATTTGTATGATTTCAGGATGATTCATAGCATAAAAACAATTTAGTAAATATACAATTTTCCTATTCCCTCACCCCACAAAAGCCATTTAAACATCAATAAGGCTAACTATTAGCTTATACAATAGAAAAATGGAATTACTAAAAAACTAACAAAAGCAGTTGACAAACTAGAAACCATTGATCTTTATACCCTTCAATACATCCTTTCATGAAGTATTCCAATAAGGCTTTCCCATTTAGAAGAAAACTGGTATCCCAATAAAAGCAAATCTTTGATCCAAATTAATTTTGCTATGAGTAATGCAAATGCTTAGATCTTCAGTCCAGATAATTCTAGTCTCCACATTCTTTGTTTTCTGCTCAAGTATTTTTTGAGCCAGAAATATGGAAATTGCCCATTTTGAAATTTTTTACATATATAATTTTTAGATGAGAAAATACTACTAGGAGAATAGCCTTGTGCTATTCTAGTATACGATTATCTGTACTAGTTTGGGGCTTCCTTATTTCATAGAGATAATAATAAGATATAATATACTTATCTATCTATATCACAGTAGATGGAGCTCTTTAGTATGGTTTTCTTTTTCTTTTATTAGAGGGGGCTTGATGTGATTATCTGTAAACTCTTCCATCAAACAGGATAACTGGCAACTAAGTACAATAAACCAGGAGGAATTGTATAGGTGATTGTTTTCATGCTTGATTATGTATTTATCATATACAAGTACATAAAGTTTTATACTTTTATCTAGCAAATTGATTTACCTAGGAGGAATTCTTTCTTTCAAAAATAGACATAGATAACATAATTATGTTTAAGTCTCAATGATATTTTAACTGTTCTAGAAATTAGCACAGTAACAAACAGCAAGATACTTAAAGTGAGTTTGATGCAACGGTTGTCAATAAATTAAAGAATGGCCATTTAGGTGTTTTCAATGGCACTTATAAGAATAAATTCTAATGCCTGCCAAGTGATAGACTAAAAGGTCACTAGCAACCTTTCATATAGCCCTTAATTTTAACCTTAATTCCTACATGAATCAATGTAATAAAATGAAAGGGAATAAATTCTCATAACTTGTCCAGACATTTCAGTGTTGTTTAAAGTATACAACAAGGAATACTTTTTATCCAATGATAGTTTCAATCCCTTTACCCGTAATTTGGTTTGAAATGAATGAGACCACATCCCATTCCATGAAACACTGTTCCAGGGAAAGGTGGAGAAAATAATTGGAGGTGAAATTTCCTTAGAGAAAGAAATTTTGCTATTATTTGTGCAATTAAATTATCCCAATGGTAGATGATGATAATATTCACCACCCCTAATCCACTGGTCACTGGCAGACAAACATGAATCAAAGTCAAGAAAAGAAAATATATTTTGCTACATATAAATTGATATTTTGATATGAATCTTTGGCCTATAATTGAATTCATGCACTGCAGGCATTTTCTAATTTGTTAGAGATTATGGACCATGGATGACATTAAAATCATTATGGTTAATCGATAGACATTTGTTCTGTTTTTATTGTCATAGTTGACTCATATTGTCTGAGTAGTCGTATTTGAATTAATTTCAGTATTCATTGTAGAAGTTTAATGGATACAGATTTCAAGCCAATAACTTGGATGTCATATGTTAATTTCATATCCTGAGGAAGAAAAAATAGTTTGCTGTATACAGCCTTTTGTCCTAAGGCTTCTACACACCAAGGCCACAGTGATTGCTGACCTGGAAAAAGTTCCTAGAATTGACTCTTGAAAGCTCATAACCCAAACATGAAAACATAATGTTCATTTCAAAACAGGAATTCACAACAAAAAACTCCAATATTTCTAGTGACACATTAAATTATTTTTGAGATCCCTCTTATTTTAATATATGATAAACTATTTCCATATTACTTACTATGGTAAAGTAAAATTGAAAAAAGTTAAAACTAGCCTATAGGAGTGTTAAAGACCTAGTAGAGTGGCATATATAAATTGAGCATAAAATATGTAACCAGGAAAAGACTGTTAACATTACATTTATGCAAATTAAAATGCCCTTATATTTCACCATTTGTCTTTCATTTTAAAGGTTATTTGCCCCCAATTATATAATTCAAGTGTTGTAAGGTTTAGCTGGAACTACTTTGCAGTAATTTATTTGACAGATCTCTATTCTATAAATGTGTAATGTAATGAGGAAAGAGATCCTTCTTTTTTAATGAAAACATTAATGTGTTAATGCCCTGTTTGACATTTAGTGGTTAGCAAAATACATTAGTATGTTGTTGAACATACATATGCCTTAGAAATGCACATTCTGTGTCTTGTGGAATGATGATCTAATTCAGTGTAGAATATGGTTTTTGGCAATGAGTTTGTTGCCAGATTTCAAATAGGGAGCTAAGTGGTGCTTTCACAATCCAAAGATTTTTAGTTAAAAAATCATGTAGTCTAATATGCTGCACTTATTTTTTGTACTTTTCAATGCATTTAATGATCTTTTTTATAATTCTTTGTACTAACAATATGTAACAACCAATTTAGATCGAAATAAATTGAAATATGATAAGTATTATACTTGTCCATTATTTCAGAGTATTTACTCCCCTACAAAGCAAATAATGTATGTTGCTTTTTTGGATTGACCACAGAGTATTGTGTGTTGAAAATTCCTGGAAGTACTCATTATTCTTAGTAATTTGTCCTTAGAAAATTTTGTCGTAGGACTGTGAAGTACTCTGCCTTAATTTATGGACTGCTGATAAGGGAGTTTTTTGCTGCAAGACTACAATTTTTTTTTTTTTGACAGATAGAGTTAGACAGTGAGAGAGAGAGACAGAGAGAAAGGTCTTCCTTCCGTTGGTTCACTCCCCAAATCGCCGCCATGGCCAGCGCCGCACCCATCCGAAGCCAGGAGCCAGGTGCTTCTCCCTGGTCTCCCATGTGGGTGCAGGGGCCCAAGCACTTGGGCCATCCTCCACTGCCTTCCTGGGCCACAGCAGAGAGCTGGACTGGAAGAGGAGCAACCGGGACTAGAACCGGGTGCCCATATGGGATGCTGGCGCCACAGACGGAGGATTAGCCAAGTGAGCCACAGCGCTGGCCCCTATAAGACTACATTTACACAGTACTTTTTCACCAGACTTACATCCTTTCTGTTATAATTTTAATTAATGCATAAATTTTTATTTTGTGTATGTTTTAGCTCTTCATTATATCCTGTTGTTTATAAGTACTTTCTGAGTTCCTGGGTTAAGTTCAGTGTTCTTCAGCATTTTTTTTAAGATTCCATGAGTTTCTTTATTATCACAGTTCTCTTTAACATATTTCCTATAAGTGTCTACTATGCACATAAAGCTATCATTTGCAATATATAAAATATGTCTAACTGAAAAATATTTGACTTTTTAAAAAATTTTTTTTAAACTTTTGTTTAGTAAATATAAATTTCCAAAGTAGAGTTTATGGATTACAATGGCTTTTCCCCACCATAACTTCCCTCCCACCTGCAATCCTCCCATCTCCTATTCCATTCACATCAAGATTCATTTTCTTTTCTCTTTACAGAATATCAATTTAGTATATATTAAGTAAAGATTTCATCAGTTTGCACCCACACAGAACACAAAGTGTAAAATATTGTTTAAGTACTAGTTATAGCATTAAATCACGATGTACAGCACATTAGGACAGAGATCCTACATGGGGAGTAAGTGCACAGTGACTCCTGTTGTTGACTTAACAAATTGACACTCTTGTTTATGGCATCAGTAATCTCCCTAGGCTCTAGTCATGAGTTGCCAAGACTATGGAAGCCTCTTGAGTTCGCTGACTTCGATCTTATTTAGACAAGGTCATAGTCAAAGTGGAAGTTCTCTCCTCCCTTCAGAGAAAGGTACCTCCTTCTTTGATGGCCCGTTCTTTCTGCTGGGATCTCAGAGATCTTTCATTTAGGTGGTGTTTTTTTTTTTTTTTTTTTTTTTTTTTTTGCCAGAGTGTCTTGGCTTTCCATGCCTATAATATGCTCATGGGCTCTTCAGCCAGATCCGAATGCCTTAAGGGCTGATTCTGAGGCCAGAGTGCTGTTTAGGACATCTGCCATTCTGACTCGGCTGTGTATCCTGCTTCCCGTGTTGAATCGTTCTTTCCCTTTTTTATTCTATCAGTTAGTATTAGCAGACACTAGTCTTGTTTATGTGATCCCTTTGACTCTTAGTCCTACAACTATGATCAATTGTGAACTGAAATTGATCAGTTTGACTAGTGAGATGGCATTGGTACATGCCACCTTGATGGGATTGTATTGGAATCCCCTGGCATATTTCTAACTCCACCATCTGGGGCAAGTCCAATTGAGCATGTCCCAAATTGCACTTGTTCTTCAGGATTTTAAAAGTTACTGATCCAAGGGCAAGAAGAAAAGCTGCCCTTTTAGGTGTTGAAAATACATCAGTAAATAAAAAAAAAAGAAAGGAAGAAAGGAAGTAAGGAAGAAGGAGGGAGGGAGGGAGGGAGAAAGGGAGGAAGGAATAAAAGAAAAGAAAAGAACAGAACCCGGCCTCTTGGAGCTTATGTTCTAGTAAGGTAAGAGAGAAAACAAGAAAGATCAAACTAAAATATATTTATTATATCACTTCTTGGCCTTTTGGCTAAGATCAACTGTAAAATATATTTATTATAAAGTCAAAGCTAATATGTGCCAAGAAGAAGAATACATTAGGAAAAGAGAATAGGAAGAATGGCAGCAGCTGAGAGTTGCATCCTTGGCTAGGATGGCAGGAAAGTGACTGATGGAGATGTCTTTATCAGTTCAAGCTGATCAGACAAAATACCACAGTCTGGGTGATGTAAACAACAGAAATTCATTTTTCACAGATTTGGAGGCTGAGAAATCCAAAATGAAGTTCCTGGCTGATTTGGTTTCTGGTAAAAGCTCTCTTCTTGGCTTTTGGATGGCTGCCCTCTCACTATGTCCTTGTACCACGTGGGAGACAAGGAAGAGGGAGACAGCTCTAATGTCTCTTCTTGTAAGAACAATCTTAATTTGATTAGGACCTGACTTTCTGACCTCATTTAACCTTAATTACCCTCTTATTGGCCCTATCTTCAAATACAGACTCATTGGTATGGCTTAAGCATGAGTTTGGGGAGGACATGATTCATTCTGTATGCTGTCTTCCCTGCCCCTCCCCCAATTCATATCCTTAACATATGCAAAATATATTCATTACCTCCCAAGATCCCTACAGGTCTTAACTCATTCTGGCATCAATTCTAAAGTCCAAAGTCTTGATCTCAGTATTTTCTAAATCATATATGGGTGAGAGTAGAGACATAATTTGTCCTTAACCAAAATTCCTTTCTAGCTGTGCACCTGTGAAACCAGACTAGGTATATGCTTTCAAATACAAAGATGGTTCAGGCATAGGAATGACATATCCATTCCAAAAGGGAGAAATAAGAACAAAGGAAGGAGTGATTATTCTCAAGCAAGTCCAGAACTTAATAAGAAAAATTCCATTAGATCCATATCTTAAGGCCTGAAATCAATCCTCTTTGGCTTAATGCTCCAACTTCTGAACCCATTGGAGTGGCGGTCTTGTCAGTAGGGTTCCATTAGTGGCTCTATCCCCATGGCTGTGCAAGGTGATCAGAGGTTTTCTAACCTATTGGCACCGAAGCAATGTCCCCAACCTTTCAAACCAAGGAGACAGCCCTCTTCATCTTTGAATTGGCTCTAGTGTCAAGAGTAGTACATATTTGCAGCTGATAAGCTCTATGATTTTGTTCTGTAGGACCCAGGAAACTTGATAAGCTTGCCTTCCTGTTGTCCTATCTTTGCCCTCTTAACTTCAAACTGATAGTGTTTCTGGTGGTATAACTCTGCTAAGGTGGCTGATTAAATTCATTATTCACACCCATGCTAATTTTATCAAGTGATTATTCACATCCATTCTTATGTTGTTTTCAGAAAAAATTTTCTCATTTTATGCAGTATGGCTAGGCTGAGAATTTTCCAAATCTTCATGGTTTTATTCTATTTTGCTTAACCAATCCTTGAACTCATCTTCCTTCACTTTTTACTGTAAACAGGAGCAATCAAGCCACTCCTACCAGCCTTGGCTTAAAAAATCCTCAGCTAAATATCCAGTTTCATGACTTGCAAATTCTACTTGCCACAAACACTAGAACACAGTTCTATCAAGTTCTTTGCCACTTTATTTATTTATTTATTTATTTTTGACAGGCAGAGTGGACACTGAGAGAGAGAGAGACAGAGAGAAAGGTCTTCCTTTGCCGTTGGTTCACCCTCCAATGGCCGCCGCGGCCGGCGCGCTGCGGCCGGCGCACCGTGCTGATCCGATAGCAGGAGCCAGGAGCCAGGTGCTTTTCCTGGTCTCCCATAGGGTGCAGGGCCCAAGCACCTGGGCCATTCTCCACTGCACTCCCTGGCCACAGCAGACCGCGCTGATCCGATGGCAGGAGCCAGGAGCCAGGTGCTTTTCCTGGTCTCC